AGTCAGAGTCTTAATATATAAACCATTACAGAGTCACAAATTATGTTATACAGTTATAAGAACACAGAAACATAAGCATGGCCATACTGGGTCAGAACAAAGGTCCATCTAGCCCAGTATCCTGCCTTCCGACGGTGGCCAATGCCAGGTGCCCCAGAGGGAGCGAACAGAACACGTAATCACCAAGTGATCCATCCCCTGTCGCCCATTCCCAGCTTCTGGAAAACAGAGGCTAGAGACACCATCCCTGCCAACCCTGGCTAATAGCCATTGATGGACCTATCCTCCATGAATTTATCTATTTCTTTTTTGAACCCTGTTATAGTCTTGGCCTTTACAACATCCTTGGGCAGAGTTCCACAGGTTGACTGTGCGTTGTGTGAAGAAATACTTCCTTTTGTTTGTTTTAAACCTGCTGCCTATTAATTTCATTTGGTGACCCCTAGTTCTTGTGTTATGAGAAGGAGTAAATAACCCTTATTTACTTTCTCCACACCAGTCATGGTTTTTTAGATCTCAATCATATCCCCCCTTAGTCGTCTCTTTTCCAAGCTGAAAAGTCACGTTCTTATTAATCGCTCCTCATACGGAAGCCATTCCATTCCCCTAATCATTTTTGTAGCCCTTTTCTGAACCTTTTCCAATTCCAATAGATCTTTTTTGAGATGGGGCGATCAGATCTGCACGCAATATTCAAGATGTGGGTGTACCATGGATTTATATAGCGGCAATATGATATTTTTTGTCTTATTATCGATCTCTTTCTTAATGATTTCCAACATTCTGTTCGCTTTTTTGACTGCCACTGTACATTGAGTGGATGTTTCCAGAGAACTATTCACAATGATTCCAAGATCTCTTTCTTGAGTGGTAACTGCTAATTTAGACCCCATCATTTTATATGTATAGTTGGGATTATGTTTTCCAATGTGCATTATATTAGTTATCATTGATTGGGATACTTTCATTGTAAAGCACATATTTTCAGAGGCACTAAACTTTCTTAAAGGGAGTGGGTGAGGTATAACAAGAGATAAGGGCAGAAGACAGGGAGGAATTATGGAGAACTTTGTAAATGAGATATTGAACTTTGAACTTCATGGAGGAGACTGTGGCAGGAATGTGGCATGCAGTCCTTGGAAGATGTTCAAAGCAGAAATAACTGGGTGAAATTTTCTAGCCTGTGTTATGCAGAAGGATGGACTAGACGAGCATAGTGGTCTCTTCTGTTCTTAAAAGTCAATGGATCTATTAAAACCTGATGGCCAGATCCAGAGATGGCTAAGTTATTCCAGCAGGTGCGACAACCTTGATAGAGTGTTGAAGAAAGGAACAGAGTCTTGACAGCTACATTTTGGGTGGTGGGAACCAGGAGGGGAGGCCTACATCTTGGAAACGGCAGTAGTTACTATACTATTACTACACTATTTCAAAATGTTTTGGTACCAGAGTTGGAGGGCAAGAAAAAAAGTTGATAAAGGAAGGTGCAGCCGAATTTGGAGAGAGCATAGATAAGATGGGAGATGGACAGAGAGGACTCAAAAATTAAAATCAAGCTTGCAAGCACCGGAGACAAGCAGAACAGTGGAAGTAAGGATGCCAGAAAAAGGTGTAAGAAGAGACATCTAGATGGAAAAATAATAAGCACTGTTTTAGCCATACTGAGTCTTAGGTGGTTGCAAGAATGAAAAATACATTAGAGAAAGGCAGAGATGCAGGGCTGCACAAAGGGAGAATGGCCAGGACTGAGAAATATATTTGTGAATCATCAACATAGACGTGAGATAAAAAAACCATGGGAGGAAATGAGATCACCATGGGAGACAGTACAGAGGGAGAAAGAAAGGGGGAAAAAGATTAAGACATTTTAAGGACTAGTAGACAGGACCAGACTTTGTATTTTTTGTCAGGCCTGTGAACCATTCTGCCACTGATGTTCCCTTCTCCCACCCCCACCAAATAATTGACTCCTCCCTCATTATCCTCCACAAAACAAATATTTATAGCTGACTCTTATCTACCTTGATCACATTCCACCCTGCATGAATGTGAATGAACAACACAGTCTCTGGATGTAACTAAATAAATAGGATAACCATGTGTCCCATTGCCAAGAGGAAAAGTAGCAGGACTGGGAGTGGAGTGGAGAATGGAGATGTTGATTCAGAGGCTAAGTTGAAAAATGAGAAGATGGAAAGGAAAAGTGAGAACAAACGGATCTTGCCATAAAGTGTCAGTTTTGTTTTTGCAGTAATCAGCAAAATCTTCGGCGCAGAGAGAGAAAGAGAGGGGAGGTGGGGGGGAAGATGGGGCCTGAGTAGCAGGTTTTAGAAGAAGTCTATCATAGAAGTAACGTTGCTTAAGCATGTGAGAAAACAGTGTGGAAGAAAGAGGATCAAACTAAGTTACAATGGAAAATGTCTGAGAAAATGAAACTGGAGGTGAGAACAGAGGTACACTAACAGGTGAAAGAGACAGCCAGAGGGTAGTAAGCAAAAGAAGATAACTACCAAAAATACTATGAAGTTATAACCAACATCAGTTTGGAACAACTCAGGGGATGGTAGAAAGAAGAACAGAAATCTGATTTAGTAATTATCAAGGTTTAAGTAAATACTAGGCATACACAGACTGTATACTTCCAAGACAATTATTTTTAGCAATAAATTATAATTTGGTGTTCCAGACTGACATGTACATGGCAAGCACATATGAAAGCTCTGCACACTGAAAAACTGTGTCAACTAATTGAGCTAGACCAGTTTTTCTGGGCAAATGCACTGAATAATCTCTCTGGATAAAGCCCTCCTATCTTAAGGTTTTGGGAAGGGGGTGGGGGAAATATCATTAGATCACACATTCAATTCTGTAACTTTAGCACCCTCGTGGCCAATATGGAGTCTGCTCTGCAGGCAGCTCTGGCCAAGAGAAGGCGCATGCAGGAATGCAGCAGGAAAAATCCTACTTTGTTAAAATTCAGGCTTTCTGAAATCACTGCATATATTAATGGATAGAGCTTACAAAATATTCAAATATAACAAAATACTACAGACATACAAGTGAGTGGAGTTAAGCTGTTTTAGGAAAAATAACTTTGAATATTCTGTCTTTGCTGTGTTTAAATTCTAAACCATAATTTTGCATTAAGACTTATACTTAGGCTGTAAGTAGACTGCAAACCCCTGGGGAGAGGGATTGTTTGTTTGTGTAGCACCTAGCATAATAAGGTCCTGATCTGTGATTGGAGCCCACAGATGATACTGCTGTACACATAACAAACAACAACAACATAGTTTTTGCATTGATTATGTTTATAGAATTATATAGTTTTCAATAAGTGTTAAGTTTAATCACAGGCATCATCGCTTTTTATAGTGCCATATCAAACCATGGAATAGCGCTTCAAAGACTAATAGCATAATCTTAGCTAAAAACTTTCTATATCCAAAGGCAAGCAAACCTCACTGCAGTAAGCTTGGCAGGCTGCCCACTCTTAGCTACACAAGTGGTCATCTTGATTGAAACCCTCAACAATAAAAAGACAAAAAAGCAAACCTAGTAAGACTGAAGTAGCTCAGCAGTACACATGTAAACCTAGAGGAACCCAAAAGATAAAGGAAAATTGGTTGGAGAAGAAAAGAAACAATTTCAATAGGCCTCTTAGGTTGTCTAGAGTCACAAATGTATCAATAAAGCTTTGCGCTTATGTGATATCATTAGCTCACACATTCAACCTTTCATCCAAAGATCTTAAAGTTTAAGTTCAGCACTGAGGGAAATATCTCCCTCTGTGCTGATCCAATGTAGAAATGAGTCAATGAGAAATTAATGCAAGCTCTTATGCAGGCAACCAAAGTCACAAGCACAGTCCCTGAATAACGGGTTGCTGATATGCTTACTTGGTTTGTTTCAACAATTCCTCTCTTCCTACTTGACACTCAATGTCTCTGTTTTCCTTACTGTCCTTTGCTTTATCCAGAGTGAAAGGAGAGAGAGAAAAAAAACCAAGACAAAAAAAAAAGCTCATCCCTTTACACAATAAGGAAAAAGGAAGAAAGAATTGGGAAAATTTATTAATTATATGTAACTTATCTACACAATCTCACTAAAGACATATTTAGCTACATATTTGTGACAGTTTATACATCTGCCTGATGCCTGTGTGACACAAATATATCTGCATTCAATAATCCCCCTAGGGAGGGCTAGCTCAGTGGTTTGAGCACTGGCCTGCTAAACCCAGGGTCATGAGTTCAATCCTTGAGGGGGCCATTTAGGGATCTGGGGCAAAAACTGGGGATTGGTGCAGGGGGTTGGACTAGATTGACCTCCTGAGGTCCCTTCCAACCCTGATATTCTATGATTCTAAAGACAGTTCTCAGATCTGGAATATCACCTTATTAGCCTTAAATTAATCCAAATTTAATCATGGACAACAATATTTTAGACATCAAATGATTCTTGAAATAGGATTTTAACTTTATAGATGATTAATCATACTATTTCTCTTTCACTAGGCATGTATTATGAATAAGTATAGTTGCCTATGGAGAATAATCACATGTTCTAATTACCATTTTGGTTATACGCATAATTAATAACATTCTGGCTTAATAGGACATGCTGCAACTATAGACAGTTGCATGCTTCAGGTCCAAAATCTAACTGTCATCTGAACTGCCAAAGACAAAGAAGCCACGATGCTGTGTTTTTAACTTTGGCAACATTGAACAAATCTTTATACAAGATATTGTGGTAAAATTAATCCTCTCATTGCTTTCATCTACCACCCTCCCTTTGGCCACGTATCAAGCATCACAATAGCATTTTTGTACTGGTAATTTTGTATTACTGTGCTAAACTGTGATATGAAATTAGCTATATTGAAGAAATATGATCACACATTCCTATCAGAACTACACAATATGAGAGTAGATACAGCCTAGTAATCTGAATATCCAAATTATACAAGCAAATTAAATTATGGAAAGCAGACTTACTGATTGTAAGCTTTCATTTTCACGAAGACAAGCTGTTTGGAGTTCTGATTTCAGGGCTGCAATGTGATGTCGATGAGATGCTATTTCTCTCTCTAATGTAGCAACTCTGGAGCTTGCGAGTTGGTAGACATCCATAAAACTTATAATCAGAGCCTTTAAAAAGTAAAATAAATAATCAATACCATGTGGACCTTACATAAATGCCAGGTTGCATACAGCCAAAGTCATTATAGAATCACACTAGCTAACTTTTATTAATAAAGAAAACAAAGGTTGGAAGATTTTCTAAAGTTCAGCAGTATTATTTAACAATTAAAAGACATAGCAAAGGTTTATGTAACCCTACCAGTATTGTAAATGGCTAATATCATTACAGAAAGCACACAACCCTGCACTTAAATTAGGAGATATTTTCAAACATGGATTACTGCATTCAAGAGCTGACACTATTTTTCACTGTACTTAAATACAAGTTTCAGTGGAAGGTCAATTTCTATCTACCGGGAAGTTTACCTCAAAAATACACATTTTCCAAATTGAACTGAGACACAAACTCTCTCAGCTCAGATTTTAAAAAAAACCCACAGATTTAATTTGGCATGCAACAAAAGAAATCAAGTAAACTTCCAGACCTCTTAAAGTAAATAACCAGTTTACAATATAGTTGGGAAAATATAATTGTGCTTGTGTATATAACAGAAGAATGTTCCAGCTGTGTAATATTGATCAGACTGATAATAAAGTTAACAGCAAGAGAGAATATAAATGATTTGGCAGTCCTAGTAACTTTAGTAACTTTATATCTACCCTAAATAATAGAACACTGTTGGGATTATTGGTCTTCTTTACATCAGGTTAATCACAGTTTATAGGTTACAGTTTTCTCTTCTGAAGTGACCTGTAGTGAGTTTTCTAACGTAAGAACACCTTTAAGGCTAATATGAAATCTGCCTTCTGAACATAACACTTAGTGGAGGCTAAAATAAATTCACTAGCACTAAAGGAAACTCCCAAGATCTTCTCAAGTTTTTCTTTGTTTTATACATTTTCTACTGTTTGTGCAAATAAAATAAAAGTAACAGGGCTGAAGTGAAATCTATTACACCAGGGGTGAATACGGCCAAATAATACTAGCAAATTACTTACATCACATATATGGTGGCTATTCTCAGTAAGAAGAATCCCAAAGTGTTTTACACATTATGGCCCCAATCCAGGAAAGATATCAAGCCAGTGTAAGGGCTTGCCTTTGTTGATACCTACCAAATGCATCTGTGTCTTGAGTAGAATGTGGCAGCCATTTACAAAAATATTTCAAAAGGGTTTAGAACAAAACAAAGAATAGCATGTTCCATACAAAACAGTATGATGCTTCACCTCAGTGAGACTGCTCAGGGGCTTAAAGCTAGGCATGTGCTGAAGTACCTTGATGCATCAGGGCCTGTGACTGAGCACTCAAATCAGGAAATGTCAAAGCTCAGGTTACATGGCCACCTTAACTCTGACCCCTTCTATATAAGTATTAAGATAGAGTCCTTCATTATATTGTATTCTCAACTTTTACAGTAATGACAATAAGGTTAAGTATACCAAATTGAAAATATATTTCAAGATGCTAAACGTGTGGATCTCAAGATGTAGGGAGAAAATCTTGCCCCACTCTATTATTTGAGAAATTGGATGCTGTTGTGTAACTTACACAGAGGGGAACAGAATTTAGGCTGTAGGTGCAATTTGAACTATGGCATTTGCTGACTTTTCTTTGAAATAAAACTAGATTTCTGTAACTATTTAGGGCTACTATCAATATGTGACTTGCAAGCATGCAAACCTATGGTACACATTTAAGGTCACAGCTTAAATTAAAATGTGGAGACTGACTTTTCTTAGCTGCCCACTCTTTGAACTGAGGCCCTGATCCTGCTAGCTTGCATGTGCAGGTGCACCTTTGTGCCAATGCAGTCCCAGTAGTGAGAACAGGGCTCTGCCCATGTATAGGAAGTTGTAGAATCAAGGTGTTACTGAAGCTCCTACTGAAAAGGGTGTTGTGCACCCCATTTCACCACTTCCCTGTCAACCATGAACTTTCTAACCCCAGCTGTTTCATTTTCAGAATAGTTTTAAAAGGTTGGAAAGACAGTGTATTTTTCTCCCAACTCTTCCTATGCTCAAATTTTCAGGGGGAAAAAAATAACATCCAGATGAAAGGCAGAAGTTTCACAAAGTTATTAACAAAACAAGTAGCTGGAATAGAAACATTTATGCAACCTTAAGGAGGTTTAAAGTCCCAGAGGAATTTTGACAGGCCAACCTAGATTTGAAATCAGCCAGGACATGGGGGTCAACATCCTCTACGCCTCCAAAAGGCACCAGGAGATCCTCAATAACGAATACCCAGAACTTCAGTTGTAAATCTAATCTGGAAGACAGCACCCCTAGCAGTAAAATGTGCTTAGCATCAAGTCAAGACACTGATTTATTGTTGAGTCAACATGAAGAAAATCACATGGAGAGTCCCCAGCATCGCTTCCTACAGTACCTAAGCTTCCCTTATTTGAATCATCGGTGGGGGAGGGAGAAATCTTTCCTATTTGGTCATTTTAAAGTTTTGTCAAACAGTGATTTCACTGGTTTCTATTGGAATTTAACATTTTTTGTTTTAATCCTTATTTGTATATTACAGATATAACATCTGCATCGCTCTAGAAAGAAGGTTTATTCACTGATCAACAGTGTTTGTTAATAGAATTGGAGATCAGGTATCTTCCAGAAACAAAGCTTAACAGCCCCCCCACTTCCACCAGCATGCCAGATTTTAAAAAAAACAGATACAACAACGACAAGTACAGATACTTTTGTAGCCTTCCGGATATATTTTTATAGCACTAAATTTGACATTCAGACATGTCTGTAGGAACCACATTTTAGTGAGCCCTTCTGTTTTTTTGAATACACTGGTAATAGCGTGACATGCAAACTGGGAATAGAACATCTGAAACAAGTAACAAATCATCTTTCATGACAAGTAAGAATGATTTTTAAAATACATATTAGACATTGATTTTCATTCAGAAAAGTCAGTCATAGTGATCCCTGAACATTATAGGAAGCAATTTTTGCAACCCAGACATATATTTTCACACATTCACTTTAAAAGCTAAAACCCCTTTCAGACTGACGAATATTGTAGGAATGTCAGTGGGGCAGCAGACTTAGCTAAAGAGGCCACAGCAATTCTGAGGGCTGAAGAATGTTAATTTTAAACATTAAAAAAGCCAGCTGAAGTATGGAATATAGGATGTGAGTTAATAAAGGGTGAAACTTGCATAGTGCTGCCAATTTTAGAGCAGAAAAGGTAATGAATTCCTTTTTTTAGTTAATTCAGAGTAAGTAGTGAGAGTCCCCTTCCTATGCCTCCATTTCATAAGAGATGTTATTTGTTTAAAATCATACATTTTATAATGCTATTGACATGGCAGAAGCATATTATAACGTCAAAAGGAGTTGTCACTGTGAGAACATACCCATGTTCCAACACTACTGCTCAAGACACTGTCAGCTTCATGAAAATGGAAGGGCAACATGCTGAACTGGCTACAACTAATGACACAAAAAGGGTACTGAAGAGAGTAGCATGGAGAAAGGAAGGTCTTACAATTAAGGTGCTGGACTGGGGTAAATGTTAAGAAGTACTTAAATCCCATTTTAAGATGTGATTTTCAATGAAATTTAAGAGCCTAAAGGCCAGATTTTTAAATGTCTTTAAGTGCTTAAAGATGCTGGTGGATGGCTAGTGGGATTTTCAGAAGTGTCTGGGTGCCTAACTCTCATTGATTGCAAAGGAAGTTAGGTGCCGAGGTATTTTGAAAAGTTAGATGCTGAGGTGCCTATCTGCATCTCTAGATGCCTTTTAAACACTTTTAAACACCTGGCCCTAAATTACTTTTGAAAATGGAACGTAGGTACCTTTGAATATGTTAATCTTAATTTATTTTTGTCTCTATTCCCAATCAGTAAAAGAGGGCATTGTGAGAATAAATGTGTTAATGTCTGTGATGCACTCAGTTACTATGACGATGGAGGTACTGTGAGTGGGTAGATAGATAAGATAGTACTTAACCAACATTTAAAAAGTGGAAGGATAAAATGGACATTGAAAGGTGACACTATCTGTTTTAAATTAAAACAGAAAAAGGTACGGATTAGTTAAAAGCATAACAAAACACTGGAAAAACAAGAACAAGAAAAATCTATTTAACGTAATAGGTAAGCTGAACCCTGCTCAAAAAGTACTAAGTTTGAGGATGGCCTATTTGTACTACAGAATTTCTCACAAATAGTTCTGGTTTGGGCCCCGTATCTATGAAGTTGAGCATCTTACTCTAACAAATTTCCAGTGAGGCAAACGACTCCAAGGCTTATATGATTTTTTTAATAACACAATGAACTATGGAGCAAAAGTGTAATTTTAAAATTACCATATTGTTCCCCTCCAATCAACTTTAGAATAGAACAAGAGTTTTCACAGGAGGCCCCTTTCTACAGCACATGCAATAATAATAATAATAAATAATAATAATAATTAATAAATACAAATATTCCCTCCCTTCAGTGATATGACTGACTGATCATCTCTATGTGCTCAGTCTTATTCAGAAACAGCAATTCTAAGATGTGCAGTGTAACATTATGTTTGTAAATATCTTTTACATTATACTATTGCCTATAAATTTGTCAGCGAGAAGACTTTAATCTTTGGAGATTTTTTTTTATAAAGTATAGTAAAATATGGCATTCTGATAGCTGGCACTGGTAAATTATGCAACAGTGTTCAAGAGACATGAAGATTAAAGTACAAAATGAGGGCTAAAGCATATCCTTTAAATTTAATTAACTAGATCAAAGGTCACTCAAAGTATTACCAAGTTAAAAACTTCAGTGGAAAAATATTTTAGGAAACATTCAGAGTGCACAAATTATTAAATGATTTCTTGTCAATGTATTAATGTGTTTATTATACTTCATGAGGAAAGGAAAATCAGTTATTTATTCCATGTGGAAATACTCTATCAGTGGGATACCCCTTTCCCAATAATTAGATTCATGTAACCTAGTTAGAGTAAATACAATCCAATAAGAACTTTAATTTTTTT